CAGGATGTGGTTTTTGTTCTGTTTAAAAAAGAAAAACTTAGAAGTTATGCTCAAGTGAGAAGAAGAAATCAAAGTTAACTATAATCTTACGTCCCAGAAATTGTTAAGTTAAATGTTTGGCATGTGCAGATATAAAATTCTTTCTTTTTGTTCAAGTTTTATTTCTTTAATACCTGTTTGTGGTTCTCTAGAGCCTAAGACCTACAATATTCTTACACTAAATATTTTGTTTTGTTTTGTTTCTTCCTTTTTCATTATGTTTGAATCTATTATGAAATCCATTATGTAGAGGAGTATTTTAATTCACTTTTATTACTTCATATTATTTATCTCTTGGTTCCATTCGATTTTCTAGGGCAATAGTTTGACTTTAGTGTAAACTAGAGTGCATACTGTTTCATAATGAAAATAATGTGCACCATTCTACTTAGAATTTAAAAACAAACTTTAGATATTAATAAATTTTTACTCAAGGTAGACTTTGGCCATAATATTTGAACTATCATTTAAAATATCATGAGATGTTTCTTATAAAAAAAGTTAGAATTTGATATCACACTGATGATATTTTATCTTGGTCTTATACTGTATGGCTTGATAGAATCTTGGAAAACTCAACCTAATAGGCTAATCCTTGTGTGTGTGTGTGTGTGTCAGTTTAAAGTTGACACTACATATATTTTTCCAATGTTAAGCCTACGTACAACTTTTTCTTCCTCACTATATTAAAAGAGATTTATTTTGAAAAGTACAAATTTTGGCAGTGTGAAAACACTGTCTCATTTTATGATTGTCTACTACATTTTTCCCTCATCTTCAGAGAAGTTCTGAATTTTAATCTGCCTCAAACAGACTAGATTTGTTTATTTTAATAAAAGTTTAGAGTCTTTATCAAAAATAAAACAATTTATATTAAAATGTTTTCTACTCTCTGGTCATTGAAGAGCTATCATTACATTATATATGAAAGTATTCTTCTTATACCTTAAGAAATTTCTTAAAATATGTCAATTTAAAATATTTTCAGTAATTAACTATATACAAAAGACAATATTTGATAATACTGAAGCAATTTCTAAAATGTTATATAATGTAAATATGGAATAATTTCTAAAACTAAATGATCTTAAATTATTTAACATGGAAAGTGCTGTTTAAGTAGCAGTTATTCATCCCAAAGAATTTAACCAGCAGCCAGAACTAGTCAGCCTGTATACGTGACTAGTAAGCATAAAATTGAAATGGTCTAGATGACAGGCAATTGTTGGGGAATCAGGAGGTGTTTATTTTAGTACAGTTTCATACTACTTTATCGGAGATGCATGACTGCAGTGTATTTTGAATTTTTCAGATTTTGAAAACTGTGTTATAAAGCACATGCCTTATATTATTTAAAACCCTGGTGAGGCCCAGGGCAATAGTTTATACCTAAGCACATTACAATTTTAGCACAATTGTATGAATGTTCACATTAAATAGGACAAAGGCTTGGAACCAAATGATTTCAGTTTAGCTTGAATTTGGCCCCCATAGTGACAATGAAATAAGCCTTTTTATTCAGAGATTTATACATTGTAATATGAGATTTGTAATCTGAAATAATTCTGCTAATAATTATCCATGTTTGGTTAGTTTTCTGAACCTCAGTCATTTCAAATGTTATGATGAGAACCTAGACTAAATATTTTCAAACCTTTCAAGTTCTAAATGTAAATGTTTATTCAATTCTGTGATATAAGAAGCATTACAATTCGAAGTTTTATAATACTGCAACTTAATGATTCCTTAGTTTTGAGTTCTTCAATATTCTTGAATGGTAAGTATTAATTATAATCTATATCTAAAGATTCAATACAAAGATCAAGAAGAGTTTCCACTTGGTCTTTGATATAGCTGAAATAAAACTAGGTTTCAACTTCATGAAGACAGATTCCTTCTTGGTTACAACTTTGATTTCTAGAATGCATTGGAGTGTAAGATTTGTAGGGTTATAATTAAAAATTTTACACTGAGAAACATTGTGTGGGTAGTAGGATTTCTTTTGAAAACCCAGAATTGCAAATTATTCAGGGTTAAACAGGCTTAAACCAAGGTAGCCCAAAGGGAAACCTCATTTTGTTTCAGATCCTGAATCTTGAAAAAATAACTTCTAAATCTAAAAATACAGCGCTCTCCATTGAGGAAATATTAAACTGAGGCAGTCAGAGGACTGGTGAGGTCTCTTATTAAATAAATGGTACACTTAGACATTAAACTATGGGTGGAGATCAAGATATATTATGTACAGGTACAAACCCCCTATGATGAATGTGATCATTGTGTATATCTAAAATGTACCAATGAAGTAAATTTTTAAAAAAGCTATGGGTGGAGAAATTAAATGTAGACAACAGCTGAGGTATAGTAGGCCAGAGCTAGCAAATCAACCTACATTATTTCCAGAGACTTGTTTTATATGTCTGGTATTTGTATTATAAAATGAAAACATTTAATTCTCATTGGGCATGGAATCCTCTTCAGTTTTCTATGCTTCTCGACTGTTTTCTGGGTCTTGCTCTTGTCAGTTTTCTCATTTAATTTCCCTGCTAGGTTCTGATGGTGTTTAAATTGGCCACAGTTGCCTGAATGCTATACTGTCAAAGTAAATTATAAGAAATTGAAAGGTTATGGTAAGGAGAAAGAGGCACCATTATGAACTTAGGATTTGTTGGTGCCATTCTTCGGGGTATCTACAGGACATTCAGCTACCTCTAGTTACCTTTTATTAATTTCCTTAAATAAAATTAATTAAGTTTCTACTATATGCTGTGTAGGCCCTGGGGATATAATTAGAAACAAGACATGGTAAGCGTGTTTCTTGGAGGAGACAGACTTTAAATAACTAAACATGCAAATGGGAAGAGTGATACAAATTATCATGGACAAGAATAGGCTGAGAGAAATTTGAGGCTGTCCTCTATTGATTTAGTCAGGTTTCTCTCACTGTGACCAAACTTGAGAAAATTAACTTAAAGAAGGAGAGATTTATGGCTTGTGATTTGCAGAGGTTTTAGTCCACGGTCACTTGGATCTGTTGCTTCTGGGCCTGTAGGGCAGCAGAAACATCATGGCAGGCGGGTGTGGTAGAGGAAAGCTGCTTGCCTCCTGGTAGCCAGGAAGCAGAGAGGGAAAGAGCAGAGAGGAAGTGGCTAGGAACAAGACATACCCTTCAAAGTCATACCTACAGTGATCTGTTTTCTCCAGCAAAGCCTCACCTCCTAACAGTGCATTCAGCTAATGAACTCATCAATAGATTAATCCACTCGATGAATTTACAGACTTCATGATCCAATTAATTCCTCATAGCTGGTCATAAAAGGCTTCAACATAATGAGACTTTTTCGATACATGTAAGATTCCAACTGTAACACTTAGAAAGATTTGATTGGGTCACTCTGAGGATGCAATACGTTGCTAGAGCTGAAGACTGGGAAGAAACTAAGCAGGTAATCAGAGAAAAGAAGCAGGTAATCAGTGGGAAAGCCTGGAGGCTGTATGGACATGGTTTACTTGAGAACAAGAAAGACCAGTGTGGTTGGAATGTTTGAAGAAGGTAAATGATGACTAAAGTGACATCATGCGGGACTTGATAGGCCATTGAAAGGAGATTGGATACTATTTTAAATGGCAATCGGAAGCCATTGGAGGTTATTTTTAAACAAGATCAGATTAGAGTTTTTCAGGGATCACTGTGTGGAGAATGGACTGAAGGGATGCAAATTGAAACTGCTGCTAACATAGCAGTAGGTAACTAGACTTGTGTCAAGACCCTGGCAGTGGCATATTGGATGTGCATATTTTAGAAGAATCTTAATGGGTAAGATTTGGATGTGAGTAGAAAACACTTTAAAGGGAGGATTTGCAATGTTATTAAGGCCTTAAAGAAAGGCTTGCCCCAAACCCTGTAGAAATTGTACACTGTAGTTTATCACTCTATCCCTACAACTTGTTGGCAATTTATATAATTTGTAGTATCTTAAAATCATGTTAAAAATTCATGGGCATTTTCTATTTTTTCTTCTTAAGTTGGAAGGTTTTGGTTACTATGAAGGCCATTATATTTGGGTGTTCCTGCCTATTAGGTATAGAACAAGATACTATGAAGAATGGATGTTGTTACTTACAGAGCCATTTGACTATTCTGTTTGCCCTGTGGGTGATGTGTTCTGAAAAAAGATGTCAGTTCAGTTCAGTTCAGTTCACTTCAGCACTATCACAAGTTGAATTCTCAGGAAGTCAATGTTGAAACAAGTGTTTGTGATGGACTCACATTTATGGAAAGAAGGAGGAGCCAAGATCAGCAGATGAAGCAATCGACTTCACTGTAATTCCAACAGTGTCTAGACTAAGCCAGCAGGAAATTTCATAGCAAATATTTGATGCCAGAATGTCCTACATTGTATCCAAATTGCTTCATAACTTGCTTTGTTCAGCCACTGGGCATGACTGCTTTCTAAATGGTATGGATGACGCTCTTATCTGAAACATAGTTCAACCCTGAAGGAAGTGACAGCTGTAGGCTGTCCAAGTCTACATTCCCATAGACAATCAGGGAGTCCTTCCTGGAAGGAAATTCTGGCTGGTTCATCTCCAAATCCACAGTAAGTGCTGCATTACTTGTAATAGAAATAGTAATTTATTCTTCAACATCTGTAGTTTCCTTCCTCTCAGCAACTCAAGATAAAAACATACAGAGCTGTCTAACCACTATTTGTCTGTGAAGACAATAAAGGAGGACTAAGAGAGATAAGATTGGAAGGGGTGGCCACATACAAGAACAATGCAGAAAAACACTGAGAGAACCTTTGAGAGGCCAGAGAAAACTAGTTTTAGTATAATAGAAATAGTCATGGCATCCAGTTCTGGGCTTCACTTTTTAAAGTATTTCAATTAACATATCTTTTAAAACATTTAAAAAGTATCATTGTGAAAATTCAAAGTGTTCCATTTTTTCTCAACAGATATGGAAAACAAGAATAAGAAGAAAGATTGCCCATTCATGACAATTCAGAAAAATGCTAATTCAGGTACTTTTCCTTTTCTACTTGCAACTGTGTTTTATGACTGATAGTGAATTGTGCACTTTGAAAATGAAAAGATGTTGGTTGATTTCCAAAATTTTAATAAAGTTCATCTTATGGTTACATTGAATGGTTGAACAGTTCCCTTGTAGTGGGTCTGTTTAACCTTTCACAAAGGCCAGGGCAACTTTGCTTTCCTCCACTGTGCTTATCCCATAATCATTTGGAAGATTTTTGCAGTCATATGATCCATGATTTCTCTAACAAATCTTAATTACTTTGGGTAGCACAGGTTAGTTATTCATATAATTTAGAACAAAGTACATGTTTTGTTTAAATTATTTAGGTTATTACATTCTCTGCTACTTTTTCTTAGTGTATCTTCTACCTATGTTTTAAATTATCATTAAGGTTAGTATCAAACTAAACTATGACATTGTGTACATTTGGGTGGAGAATACCCAAATAGTCTACCTAATTATAGTCTTGTTTTACCTATTTTATATTTAGCTTTTAGTTTCAATCTTTTATCAAATTTAAATCATTTTGATTTATCTAAACTAGAAGAACATTAATAATTTAAGAATCATTTTGTGTAGTTTGATTACTAAAGATGTGGTACTTAAATGTTCACAGCTGATACCTAACACCTTTTAAATAAAAAAATAATAGAGTAACAGAGGTCATAGTTGGCACTATAGTTTTCTAAAATTCACAATATATTAACTCTCATGGAATTATTCCCTCCCTGGTGTTTTAGGAATAATGTTAGGCCAGGAATATATTGGCCATGTTCTAACAGCTTCTTGAAATAAAGATTAAAATACATTATGAACATTGTAATATAGTTATGTTTTATATGCTTGAAAACATTCGATAATAAGATTCAAAGTAAACATTTTCCTCTTAATTATATTTGAGTTCCAATACATGATACTATTTCTTTCTTATTTTTCTTTATTTATGATGAATAGATAATCTGATATTCTGTATGAAAAATGGGATAAGAAGAATCAAGTATAAACCAGTAGACTATCAACATTTACGTGCATTAACTGAAGCAAAGAAATTAGCTTCTGCTTCTATAGAGCAAAAGGTTAGAAGTTGTGTGTATGTACAATGTTTTTTTCTAGTTTTGGAAAATTGAATTTCTAGGAAGTGTATTAATATTTATATTGCACATACAAAAAGAAGTGGTTTTCTAAATGGTTATTAGACTCTCCAACTATTAATAGTAGTGAATAGCAGCTAACATTCCCTGAATGTTCTCAGACTATTATTCAATTTGCCTGATATGTTCATTTAATTTTTACAACAAGTCTATGAGGACTAAATTCAACTTTTTTTGAAAAGAAAATTATTTTTAATAATTTACTATTTAATCTGAAAAAAAAATTGCTGAAGAGTGCCAGTCATAGATTATTATATGACATAAGGCTTCTTTTTCAACCCATTGTAAATACACCCTTTTTTCTCTATTTTTTTCTCTAGTTTTTTTCTCTATTCTGTAATTCTCTTCTTTGCTGAGATATATATCCTATGCCAAGAAAAGGTCAACCTGGAACTTGTTCAATGATACAGTTTATTAAAAGTGACATTTTTCATTGCTTCCTTGTATGGAAAAACTGTTTTAAGGAAATAATACATTAATTTATAAGTTTTCATTTTTATTTAAAATATTAGTATTTTGTTAGTTTTGCATGGCTTTTCATTATTATCTTTTTTGTTTCTTGACATTTTTATTAGCACATTGAAGTACATGCAGTTTACAATCATGTTGATGAGTGGTTATATGTACATATCATTATTATCATTTTTAATGATTTATGATCCAAAGTACATTTGATACCCTATTCTAGAGAAATTATCATATGTCTGAATTATATTCCCTTAAACTAATGTAACTTAAAAAGTAGGTTATTACTTGTTCCACATATAACTATAACTAACTTCATGTTATGAGAACAAAGAAATTTTATAGAAAAAAATCACAAGAATCACAAGACTGTTTGCCTAATAAAGTTGTTTATATATGTTTAACTTGTTCTTACCTATTTTACACACATGTACAAATATATAATTATAAAAATTACTGTAAATCTTATTTTATGCCATGATAAACATAAATATAAATTCTATTTGCATTTTCCTTTAACATTTTACAATGTTATTTTATATTATTTTATATGATATTTGATAACTCTACTCAACAAATCTTAATCATATGATTACCTTAAACTTGAAGATATAGTAGCGAATAAAATGTAGCCCTTAGCTTCATGTAGTTTACTATTTGCTGAGAAAAGAAAGTTGTCAGTATTTATTAAATAAATCTGAAAATAAATCACATTAAGTTTAAACTGCAATAAAACGTGCTGTCTGGTGTAGAATTAACAGGATACAATCATGATTGGATGTATAGGAAATGACTTTTTGAGGAAGTAACATTGGAATTGACACCTGAAGGCTAATAAAAGTTAGCTAAGCAAAAACTGAATGACAAATACTGTACTGTACTCCAAATAAACAAAAGATTCATACATTATTATACTTTGATTTATTTGGGTTGTACCCAATTTGATTATGTTGAAAATTCTACTGTGGTAAAATTCTTTAGGCACATAGATGGGCTTTTCCATGTTTTAAAATTCAGGTCAAGAAATATGAAATGTTTTAGACTTATTACTAATTTTTCCCTCAAGCTATTTTTTTAAGTTTTATTTTAAAGAGGATAAAATTAAACATAACAAAACAGAATGTAAGAAAACAATGTAAGAGATACAGATTTCAATATAAGAAAACAATGTAAGAGACACAGTGAAAAACCGGAGTTTTTCACTATTTATCATATTGTCTCTTGTTTTCATCCAAATAGCTGTCCATATCTTCACATACAGTGAATTCATACAAAACAATATAGGATAAAACTGAACTGAACAGGATGATGCAGGCATTTTAGATCTTCAAGACCAAACAATAAGGAAGTCAACAATGGCTGCCATAATGTCTCTCATTCTCTTCAAAATAGCTGTCCATACCTTCACGTATGTTGAAATTAAACAAAACAAAAAAGACTAAAATCACTCTGAACAAAGAATAATAGTATTGCTGGATTTCACATCATGACACTATGGAATCAACACTGGGTACCTTACTGTCTCTTTTTCTTCAAAGTAGTTGTTCATTTCATCATGCATTATATAATCAGTTCTCATAAACTGTTTAGAAGTTCTACGCATGCATGAGTCTCTACATGTATATTCTTTCTGCATTAGAGGGAAAAACAAAACAAATTCCTAGAAAAACATGAAATGAAAAATTCATATAAAACCACAATGCAAGGTGATCTACAGTGGTTACTATGATGTCTCTTATTATCTTCAATGGAATTGTCTATATCATCAGGCATAGTATAATTGAGCATAGCAGTATATAATAATATTAATAAAAACAAGGCATTGGAGACATTATAAGACTTCAAAATCAGGTAATAGTCAAATCATTATTATCATTTTTAATGATTTATGATCCAAAGTACATTTGATACCCTATTCTAGGGAAATTATCATAGTGGATATCCTAGTGAATCTTGTCATCTTCAGAGTATTTGCCTATACTCTCAGACTTGATACTATCAATCATAACAGATTCAAATAAAATCAGTCAATACAAAACAGCAATCTAACAAACCAGATTCAAATAAGATCAGTCATAATAAGACAGTGTAAGTAATACAGGGCTTCAGATTAAGTTAATAGGAAATTAAGGATGGTTACCATAGTATATCCTGATATTTTTGGAATAGTTGTCTGTGCCCTCAAGTCTAGTAGAAGTGGACAGAGTGAAACAAACTAAACAGAGCAAAAGAACTATATGGATTTTAAATCCTGATTCATTATTAACAATGTCCTCTGCCTTCCTTTTTAAGACAATTCCCCCCGCTTTCACTTTTACAGAGTGAATTGTACATTTTGGGTCTCACTAGGTCCTTTAGTTTTTAGGTTAGGAGTACAACCTGCTATTTATCTAAGTGATTCTGAACCTTTTTACCTCTGGGCTTGATCTTAAGTTGTATTCCTTTACCTACAAAAGCCTCAAGGTTTTCCTTCCTTATAGCTGAGTAGTTCTCCACCACACAAAAGTATCATGTCTTTCCAATCTTTCTGCAGGTGCTGGATGAGCTGCCCCTTTTTCTGTCTGGTTCCCTGCCACATAGAGCATTGTTTTCTCATATTTGATTTTTGGTCCATAAACCTTCTTTCAGGTTAATTGTATTTCCTATACAGAACATCTCTATGGACCCTATCCTCTGATCTACTCTGCCTGTGTTTCTTTTTGTTAATGTGTCAAGGCTAAATGTTAGAGATTATAGCCAACCTTCTCTGCCTCATTTCTGCTATGCTATTTTTCTGCCATTGGTGGTCTACTTCTATCTTTCATTCCACTGTCTGCCCCATTCATTGAGGCCTCTCTGCCACTGTTCCTGAAATTCTGGTGATTTTTTTTTCTCTCTCTCTAGAATGTCCTTCAATATTTTTTGTAGGGTTGATTGGTGGTCATGAACTCTCCCAGTTCCTCTTTGTCATGGAAGCATCTTGTTTCTTCATTAATTTTGAGAGTTTTTTAGGGTACATCAATCTGAGTTGGAGGTTTGTCGATGTCCGCTCCCGGCCGGCAGGAAGGACACACGACAAAGTCTGGTAGTGGACAACCTTTTCTTTTTATTTTCCTTCTCCGTACAGCCTGCCCTGGGTTCTCCCAGCTGAAGCCTCCTCTGGTCCGCTCCCCGCGGCTCCTTTTGTGTTTTAGTCTGCCCCAAAGCCTCTACCGGTCCGCTCTCCGCGGCTCCTTTTGGGCTTTTACTTTTGGGCTTCTACCTGGCTTCTTCCTCCGCCCAGGGGTGGCACCGGTATATATACGGGTACAGTGTCCAATCATGTTAAAGTAAGCAAGGCAAGCTGATTGGCTAACATCATCAGTTGCCAGGCAGACTATATTGTTGAGCGGGTTGCTTACGCGGTAAGCAGGAAACTAACGTGCTCGATGGGAGGGGCAATCTACCTCAGGCTTCACTCTTTACTACAGGCCTCACGTCCGCCAAGTGAGGCGACCGGGCTCGGGGCTGTGGCTCCCAACAGAGGTTATTTTCTTTCAGGGCTTGGAATATTTCCCTCCAAGTTCTTGAGTTGATGTTTGTGTCAAGAAGTCTGTCATGATTTTGATGGGTTTTCCTTCATAGGTGATCTGTTTCTTTTCTCTGGTGGCTTTTAATATTTTGTTCTTGTGATGAATTTCTGGGATCTTGATTATTTTTTTTTTTAATTTTTATTTAAGGAGAAAAGAAAAGAAAGAAAAAAAACAGTGAAGGGGTACAAGTTATACAGATTTACAGAATAAAAAAATGCGCAGTAGGAAATCAATAGTTAATGGATTACATATTGCCATCTTAGAAATAATTGTTCAAGTCACAAAATTAAAGCTTGTAGAGTGGACATTCCACCAATGATACTGCAAACAGTTCTGTTCAATGATCCAATAAAACTCTGTGATATCATTTTCTATCTTATACTTTTAAATATACATGCAGTTATATAGTTTAGAGCACTTTCTTTTCCTCTCTTTTGTACAGTGACTATTACACATTTTGGGTTTCATTGCTCCCACGGTTCTTGTTGCTTTTTTGGAAGAGAGTAAAACCAAATGTGACATAACAGAACAGAATCGGTCAAGTCAAAAGGGTGGACATAATAGATAATATAAAAACATAATACAAGGTGATCAACAATGGTTACCCTAATGCCTCCCGCTATTTCTAATAGAATTGCCTATATCATTAGTTGTAATACAATTGAACAAAACCGTAAAGAATAAAACCGAGAAAACCAAAACATTGGAGACATTGTAGGTCTTCAAAAGTAGATAAAAGTCAATGAGAATGGGCGTTATAATGAATCTCATTATCTTCTCAGCTGATGCCTAAACTTTCGAACCTGATACTATCCAGCAAAACAGAATATAGGAACCTCAGTCAAAAACAAGATGGTGAGAGTAATACAGGGCTTCAAATCGAGATAATAGAAAGTCAAAGTGGGTTAC